AAAATATCGAAAAATATACAGCGCGCGAATTTTAAATGAGAATTTCCGAAAACCTTTCGGTCACAATGTATGCCACATAGTAGAAATTCATATAAATATGTACTTATTATTTTTAAATCAGATGAAAGTACGTATGATCTAAAATTATATTATTAATTATTAATTAATTAAAAATTATTATTTAATTACTTAAAAGTTAGTTTTTAATCAAAATGAACCGTCATTACAAAATATTTTCTCTTGTTATGAAAATTATATTTAAAAATATCATGCCTTTATAGACCATCCGAAAACTGACCAAAGTAATACTGATGGGCTACTTGCAGCCCTCTCTGTTCACTGGTGCAATAAAATCCACAAAGAGAAACTGCGCATTCCTACTAACACTCGTACTCATTGTAGAAGTCGTTAAAACTTACAGGAAAAAGAATAAATCAGGAACTATCTTCTCTATGACTATTCTACTTTTACCTCCAGAATATACAGATTTTTTGTAAAGTTGAAAAAATTGTAGCTTGTCTGACTTTCGGTAACGACGAAAAAACTCATTTTTCTTTTTGAAGGGACTTTTTAAGGATAGTGGAAGGATATTTACTAGCCTACAACTACAACTAAACTCCCATAAACAGTCCATGCTAAATTATTTTTATTAATTATAAGGAATTTTCAACGTTTTTTTTTCCAATCGTAACCCCAACAAAATTAGTTACTTATTTCTTACTCTGAAACGAATTTAAATAAAAAATATATTTCCCAATAAAAGTACTTACTCTTCGTCTGTGAGATTTTGTTGATTATGAAATGAATTAGTTTCAGCAATTTCATCCCAAAATTTTTTTGAGACGTTTGCAAAATTAAAAGTATTCGCATCCGTTTTTATTTCAGGACAAACTGTAATTGTAGGAAATGGTATTTTATGTACTGGTACCAGAGTTTCATCAAAACCCAATATAACTGGAGAATCTTGCCATTTTAGATAAGTATCCCACATAAGCGAAACAGCATAATACAGAGATATAGAAATCAAGAAAAACCAATATAATCTAAAATTTAAAAATTAAGTTCACTAATTTTATAATCTCTCCATATATATATTGCCGATATTCTCACTAAGCGTTCACGTACTTCTCATAAAATGGACGATGAACTTCAAAAATGTAACGTATTCCATGTATTGTAGTACTTTTGGAGTACTCCATGAGTAAACCTTTGCAAGCAGACCAACGGCTTCCATATTTGATACGCGATTTTATAATAATATCACTTGGAACATCCGATAAAGCCTCAGAAGCAAGACTGCCACGGTGTTTCGGTATTGTTAAGAAAAAATGCGGATTTGGCAGAGATAAACTGACACTTTTCTTATTACTTTTATTATTTTCTTTACCGAAACCCAACATTTTGCGATTAAAAATTAGTTTAACAATTGAAATAGAACTGAAATGGATTCAGTTCGCACAACTCCTTTTATACGCTTTCCGTAGGACTCCTAATGCGAATTACTTCTCCCACAGGTGTGAAAACAGACATACATTAGCATTTTGCGGAACTAAAGGAATTAGTGTAATTAAAAACAATTAACACCGCGTTAATATGCAAATTAGTTGAATAGTTTCAATGTTCTTTAAAAATTAAATTTTCACGTTAAAGTTAAACATTCGAAAGCATTCAGTATTGCTAAGCCCTTTAAAAGGACAGACCAGACGAACAAACTCTCCAGGGTAAAATTAATTTTTAAGATAGTCTGTGTATAAACATTTTTCTGAAGATATAAGCAAAACGTGGTTTGGTAGTAACATAAATAATTCTTGTTTATTAAATAAATATGACAAGGTTATTTAGATAATTCTCGGTTATTTAGCATTTCGTACAGTGATAAATTGACAATCACCTAAACATCCATTTATAAATCTTTCTCGGTAAAATTATAAAGTGAAACTATCAAAGAAGTTAATTTCATTTGCTTTTTTTTTGCTTTAGGTGGAAAGCATCGATAACCATAGCGTGGCATTTTAACCCAGTAGAATTAGATTTACGGAATGAATGTAGAAAATTTCCATCACTATTCCGGAGGGCTAGGTATAGAACTTCTTCCAGCAATAAGGGATAAGAAGTTATATAAAAGGGTTTAGCATTTAGAAATCCACGTTTATTTAAGCCAAAAGATATGCGCGCGGTACAAGGGGAAGGATGGTAGATGAAGGGAGTTGAGTAATTTCACAAACGCAGGTATAGTTTAATTGTACACTCTGTGATCGGAGCCACAAAAGCCACGGTTATAGAGCGAGAATGATAAAAGCGTCTGAACGCCTCTCGGTAATTCGATGAGACGGCAATATTATGACCTCTCAAAAACAAATGCACATAAAATACATATAACATACACTTTACCGACTTGTCGACCACGTCTAAAGACCTAAAGATAATGTAAGACTATAGTCTTACATTGGAACAATTTGTTTTGTGTAAATGTTGTCTTTGTATATCTTCGCGTAACACAAATAATATGCCAAATTTCACTCTTTAAACAGATTTTCATGGAACATCTTTTGTGTAAAGTCCGGTGAGAACACCAGTGCCTCGCAAATAAACAATACAAAATAAATTCAAACCAAAACAGCTGACTCATACATGAACACAAATTTTACTTGAATTAAAATATACGAGTAAAGGTTCAGTTAGACGGTAGATAACGTAAGAAATTAATTCGAAGCGAAATGCACAACCAATCAAACCTGCGTATTTAATAAGAATGAAATAAACAAAAACGGAAGACGAAGTACTAATACACACACATACAAAAAAAAATATGTTCACATATATTCAAGAAATCAAATCGTTTTTAATATATACAAAACATTATATAAAATATAAGTAAGAATATTAATCTGAACGCGATGTAAAAATTCTTATTCCGATGTTAATTTTCTTTGCGATCTTATTACTCTCAATCAGCTGATGTCATATGTATATCCACGTTTTTCGCTTCGCTTTGCTATGTTATTGCTCTCAATCAGCTGTTGTATGTATATAAATTATTTCAGTATATATCAGGCCCGAATTATTCATTGAATTTTACTTGTACAATTTATACTACTTTAAATATTTATATAATCTCGTTATTTTTATTTTTAATTCGATGATTCGACAATCCGAGTTTAATTAATCGTTACGTTCGAAGACATGTTATTTTGCTATGTTAAATACTGAGACATTATACATTGTATTTGGCACACATTTTTAGCTTTAATATTTTAATCATTTAGCCGAATAATGTTACGCTACACAATATTTAAATTTTAAATAAATTTAATTTTATAAACACAGCATCGCTTACAAATCTTACAGCGGCTCTCATTGTACATTGGATAATATTGATTTCGCTATCGCCGCGGACATTTTAAAAATCATTCATTAACTGTAGACAAAGCTACCATTTTAACCAATATTGTTTGGAAGCAAGTTCGTTAATTTTCCGGGAGAAATAAACAATACTTAAACAAACTTAAATTTAGTGCTTCGAAATATTTTTCTGTTATTGTTTTTTATGTTTTTGTTTGTTATAATAAGGAAAAAATGTCCAGAAACGAAGACACCACAAAACGCAACGTGCTCTCGTTCATTAATGGACGCGAGCCAAGCATAGATCGTCGATTTCGTCCATGTCCGAAGAATATATTCAAAGCAATTGATATAGATAATATAGATGAATTAGATGATGATAGTAATTCAAATTTTGATGATGCTAGTACTGTAAGTGGTGACATATCGAAAACAAGTACTATTGGAGAAGATGGGGCCATGGTGTATCTACGACTGCGTCCTGTTAATTCTCCTTCATCGTCATATAAAATTGCAGGCAATGGAAATACTCTTGTGGTGAACCCACGTTTAGATCAAACAACGACAAGTAACAATAAAGCAGCAATGGAAAAACATTTTACCTTCAGCGCAATATTCGATAATAATGATAGTCAAAAGGGCGTATACAATAAGTGTATAGGTGACAAAATAAAATTGGAGGAAAGTTTCACAGTGCTGACTTATGGTACATCTGGTTCCGGAAAGACTTTTACACTTTTAGGTAAAGTTCAATTAAAGTAAAATTATATGATTTGTATAAAAATAATTGTTTCTTTAGGCGATGACGTTAATCCTGGTATTGTGCCGCGTTCCATTGAGAATATTTTCACATTATACAATTCCAATATATATCCGCACCCAGCAGTTAAATTACAAAATGCTCGCGTAGTTATTTTAGATGATGAACTTTTAGCCAAGGAAATAATTTCAACTCGTCAAGTACTCACAGCTTGCGGAGATATAACCTCAGTACATAAGCAACTCCAACAAATCATATGCTCAGATCATAATTTTGAAACCACAGTTTTCGATGATGTGTCTGTTATGATTTGGGTGTCATTCGTTGAAATTTATAACGAATTTGTCTATGATTTACTGGAATTATCAGCATCTAATCAAACAATTACAGTGCCGTCTCGTAAGAATCTTAAAATTGTTAGCAACGACGGAAAAGTTTTCGTGAAAGGATTAACACAAGTTTATGTGAAGAATAGCTTGGAAGCCTTAAAATTGCTGCGCTTTGGCTTACAACGTGTCACTTACGCCTCTACTTCCATCAATGCAAACTCCAGCCGGTCGCATTGTATATTCATCATTGACGTGCTAAAGTACAATGCATCAGGTTTGATAACAGAAGTAAGTTATTTTATTATTTTACTATCATTCAAATGATTTTATCCATTATTTTTTTGTTTTGTATTTGAAGATATCTTATAAATTTTGTGACTTGGCTGGTTCTGAACGTCTTGACAAAACTGGGAATGTTGGTTCACGACTTAAGGAAGCACAACGTATCAATACATCGTTGATGATTCTGGGTCGCTGTCTTGATGCTGCTAATAATTTAAATCGTAAGAAGAATACTGAGGTTATTCCTTACCGAGAATCGAAACTCACGATGTTGTTGCAAGCTCCACTGTTAGGAAAGGAGAAAATTGCCATGGTGGTTAATGTTACACCCACTGAAAAATATTATGAAGAAAATTTAAATGTTTTGGGATTCTCTTCAATCGCTAAGAATATTATCTTCAAACCACCAATTGTGAAGCAAAATAACTCCAGATTTTCATTCTTTTTGGAATATTCCAAGGCCGGCAGTGCACAAAATGCCTACATAGAGCAATTACTCGAAGAAAATATTTTGTACGTTTTAAAATACGCTAACTCTTTTGGGATGTAATAATATATAAATTATTTATTCAAATAGGCTGCGTAGTGATAATAATCGACTGATAAACGAAGTAAATAATTTCCAAATTAGGATAAATTCTGAACTCTTGCGGCAAGAAAAAGAAATTCGAAATGAACTTGTGGACTCGTTTGAAAAAACATTGACTGCAACCAAGGAACAAGCTGAAAATCGTTTGAAACAGGAACTTGAATGTCAAAAACGAGTATTTGAGTCAAAGGTAAGTGAAGTGCGCTATCAATTTAGATATTTTAATCACATCAATAATTAAATTTCAATTTATAATTTGTAGTTGGCAAAAGTGAAACGAGCGCATATTGAACAAATTGAAGATTTGCGTGAAGAGTTACAAGAACTAAAAGAGAAAGAATGTCAAAAATATCCGAACAAACTCAATCCAACACTCGCTTTTAGTCCGCGGCAAGTTCAGGTATTACAAGCATTGCCAGAGAAGATGCGCGATAAAAGTCAAATCAAAATCGAGACAATAGATTCAATAGTCGCAGATCCTAGTCCGATAAAAAACGATAATTCGCATGAAGAATTACAAGACTTAAAAGAAAACATTTGCGATGAAATACCAAGGAAACGCAGGACATTAGAGAATATGGGAGCCTCGCATGAGGAATTTTTAGAAATTGAAAGACAGATTTACAATGAAAATCCAAACAAAGTGATTGTACTAGACGCAAATTATACGAACAAAATAGGAGAAGAATTAGAAAAAATGGAGGAGGACTCAAGCGATAAAAATCCTAACGAACTCAACACACTGGATGTTTAGCATTCGCAAAAAATGTAATATTTTTTTACGCAAAAAGAGAAGCTGCATCCTATAATAATACAATCACGAAATAGTACTTGTAAAAGAGGATAAGCGTTTTTTTGTAATTTATAAGAATATTTCTAGTTTTGTTTAAGTAAATGTATTAGATTATATCAGTTAAAATTACACAATGTTTTTACTAATTTTTTTTTTAATTAAGTTAAATTCAGGCAATTACAAATAAATCAGTTTAAGTTTTAAACACGGTAGTAAGATTTTTCATCGCATTTAGATAGATGTATCAGATAGAGCTGAACATACTTGTATCATAAAGTAATATCCAAAAATAGATTAATTTTTTTTCAAATAAAGGTAAATGTCCATTAGACTGACTATTCCTTAAAGAAACAAGTTTAATTATATTGTTAAAAAAATATAAAAAAATGGTTAATTGATTAAAAACAAATTTATCTGCATGATACCCAATATACCACCAGTAAAGCTAAAATTAATTATTTTTCTAGAATTTTTTTATTGTATATTATGTTAAATTAGTATTATTTTGTTGTAAATTAATTAATAATTTAAGGCTTCATCGACTAAATGATGAGATAATTGCATTAAAGCCCACATAATTTTAATTTCTTTAAGTTCTTTATATGTTAAATACCTTATCTTTCAATATATAATTACTCGTATTATAAGCTTTTAAAAAAATAATAGTAGGAGAAATAGGAAGGAGTTGATAGTAGCTAGCAGCTTGACTCTCCCCTCCGTATGCACTCCATGTAACGGGCACTGTGTCTACCTAGCAATCTACATCACTTTTTTGTAAAATCCATTTTGTGCTTAAAGTATTAGAGAACGAATATTTCGTTGAATAGATTGTTGTAGCAATATGCCAAACTGGAAGCTAGCTCAGAAAAGGTTGATAACACATTGCACAATAGGCGGAATAGAGAAAGTAATGTGAAGATATAAAGGAGTAGAAATGAAAGTTTCGAGAATGGCCATGTCAACTTACCGGAACCACTCGTCAACCAAGTATCGTTCACCACCTCCAAATGGATATTACAAGCAGCTTCTAGCGTGTTAAAAAAAGGCAGGAATGACCATCTTTAAGGCATATCTATGAATATCAGAGTTTCTAATAGACCAAAGAATTTGAATATCTCACTTAAGCTGATATTTTGAAATTTTTTTAGTCAAGTGTAGACTTAGCTGACTTACTAAAAGCGATAAAACCAAACTGATTCAGAATATGTGTACAGATTGTTTTCTCTGTTTTGATGTGGTGTTTAACAAAAGTCAGACGCAACTCCAATACCTCAATTAAAATCCTACAATTATTTTTTACAGAAACAATTAAACTTCAAATCTAATGATATTTACTAAATATAATAATAACGATTACACAATAAATGTACTTAAAGTGAAGATTATTACATATCATCCTTAACTAAAAATAACTTAAGATTTATTTCTTGAAAAATGAAGATATGCTTTTTGTTCCCTTTGCGCTTTTGGCTAATGCTTTCTCCTTAGCTGTGAGTACGCGCTCCTTAGGTGCTGGTGCCTTTGGTACATCATTAACGATTATATTAGATTTATCATCATCCAGTGAGTCATCTAATAGGCTACTATTTTTTAATTTTCCACTAGCACTTGTATCATTCGTGTTTTCAAGTTTAATTTTTTTATTATCATTTGAATTAAGTGATTGCAAGGATTTTCGTTTATTTGCCTGTTTCTGCTCCTCAACGATGGCCTTTATTTCCGGTTGTATTTCAAAATATTTAGTGAGCTCGTCGTGTAAATCCAAGTCAATATAACCACCAACAATATCACACGCCATACGCAAATAGTCAATATCGTTAATCAGATCTTCAGCTGTTGAATTCTCGCTGGGAGTGTAATTATGTGACACGGCGCTCAGTCCGCAATAAATTCCTTTGCTTTTAAGCACATTCGCAATGTTTCGGGTTTTAAGCGCTAACCAAGCTAACGTTTTTTCTGCATTGTACTTATAAAACACCGTTTTGGAACCAGCTATTCTTTTAACATCAGCTACGCAACCTAATGTGTCTTTGTCTACAAAAGTCGTAAGCAGGCGAGAAGTGCTTAAATCTTCACTTTGCATGCAATGTAATTCCAGTGCTCTTTGGGTGCAATGCTTGCGTATATGATGTATTGCCAAAAATGTGACATCAATCGGTGTAGTAACATAAATACGTCCATTGGAACATACATTTGAATCTATTAGCCAACTTCGTCGTGGTTCAGAGAACTGTAATACTTCCATAATGATTTTATTGGAACATGTTATAAATAGCGCGGTAGTACCTTTGCCCGGATGAAAGAAGCGTTCCAATCGCAATTCATTATCGGCATTTTCCAGTAAAGATTCGGCAATATAAAATACTTTTCTTATAGATGATGCTTTAACCGTTTTATTGTCTTTTGTTGAATCATTTAATTTGGTTTCTGATTTAGAAGAACGCGTAGATTTTATTTCGCTCATATTTGCTAATAAAATTTCTTTGCATTTATTTTTGCGCGAAAATCTTGAAGTATGCTTTAATCATAAACAAAACCATTAACCGCTGTACAAAATCATGTGTATTCATATTAAAAAACATGTAGTGTCCTGCGGGAAATTAATGAGGTTCTCGCTTACATGAAACCGAACCGCTGTATGCTCATATACTGAGATCTATATTTCCATATCCTACAACAATATATCTAATATGCTGTTAAAACTATTTTCATTAAAAGAGTTTGTTCACAACAGTTCATTTTTTGAAAAAAGCAGTTCATTTCTTGAATTATTTTTTTATTAGGAATCCTATTAAGGCATTATTGCGTTTAATATTGGACTGCAATTGTATGTTTGTGTAAATACCATTAAACCATCGGTATTATTGTTATTTTATTGCAATTATTTAAGCAATATAATGTATGTTATAGAATTTTTTGCATGTTATTAAAATACCTTCATTAAAATTTTATTTTGCGAAAAGTTGCATTTGATCATGACAAAGTTCTTATTAATAAAAATATTTATGTAAGTATATATTATCGTTTTTTAATGCAAATAATATTTACTTAGATAATAAATAAATATAATAATTTAATAATAAAATTTTAGACTTTCATGTTTTGGTTATACTCTAAGTCGAATTAAATCCAATGTATTTCGTATTTGTAGTTATTCTAACTTATATATAATTAGTACTCCAATTGAATATAAATAGTTCCTACTATAAAATATAAAAAAAAGTTAACTTCAGCGTTTATTTCATCATGGAACGTTTAACGCGTAATGGGTCCATATAAGAATTACTATTCTAATAAGTCGACGGACTTATTTCATGTAAGAGTTTTAATTATTTGTGTATGTTTGTATATGACAAGCAGCAATATATATAGCAAGTCCCTTCTTTACAGTAAATGATTTGTGATGTTATGATTTAATTATAGTTCCTTGGATTTGTAAATGTACTAATTAACACTTATAGTTGATTTACAAAAATAGCAAATAATACTTCTTTAGCACATGATTTTGTTTACTTTACTATATCGCAAAATTTATTAATGAATACAATAGTTAAAGCATTTTTCTTGATTTTAATTGTATTATACAATATTCCCACTTTTAAATCAGTTTTATATGCAGATTGAACACATCCTATCGCCGCTGTAAATAATCATGTGCACAGTGGGTAACGTAGATGTTTTCTACCGCCAATGTTTTTAGATTAAAAAAATATTTGAATACTTGTTCAAATAATTTATATTTTTAGAAATATATTTTGTTTGCATATCGGATTTTGACAGTTCTGAGAGAAAAAAATAATTACTGCAGAAAGAAATGCAAGCGTTAGTTTTAAAATATTTCTGAGTTTTTGCTATTGATTACTTTTAAGCGAAAAAAAAATGTCAAAATACGGAAACTGTCCAAAGCGTAACGTTTTATCTTTCATTAACGGACGTGAACCAAGCATTGATCGGCGAAACCGTCCATTTCCATTAAACGTTTTTAAAGCAATTGACAATACAGAAGAATTTGGTACCGAACAAAGTATTGCAAACTCCGATAATACAAGTAGTAATGGTTCGAAAACGAATTCCATTGGTGAAGATGGCGCTATGGTGTATCTTCGCTTGCGTCCTGTTGAATGTATTTCGGAAATGTATAAAATTGTAGATGCAGGAAATACTCTCGTAGTAAATCCTCGTTCAGAACAATCAACGACGACCAACAGTAAAACTGCAATGGAAAAACATTACACCTTTACAGGCATATTCGACAGCAATGATAGCCAAAAGGATGTATACAACAGGTGCATAGGTAATAAAATAAAATTGGAAGAGAGTTTCACAGTGCTGACTTATGGTACATCTGGTTCCGGAAAGACTTTTACACTTTTAGGTAAACTTTAATTAAATTAAAATTATATGATTTGTATAAAAATAAATGCTTCTTTAGGTGATGATGATAATCCTGGTATTGTGCCACGTTGTATTGAAAACATCTTTAGGCTCTATAGTTTCAATATATATCCGCTTCCGGCAGTTAAATTACAAAATGCTCGTGTTGTGATTTTAGACGATAAACTTTTAGCAAAAGAAGTTAATTTTAGCCACAAAATACTTACGGAGTGCCCAGATATAATCTCAGTACATAAGCAACTCCAACAAATCATATGCTCAGATCATGATTTCGAAACAACAGCGAGTGTGGATGTTTCTGTTATGATTTGGGTATCGTTTATTGAAATATATAATGAATTTGTCTATGATTTACTGGAACTATCAGCATCCAGTCAGACAGTTATAGTGCCGTCTCGTAAGAACCTTAAAATTGTTAGCAACGAAGGAAAAGTGTTTGTGAAAGGATTAACACAAGTTTACGTGAAGAGTAGCTTGGAAGCCCTAAAATTGCTGCGCTTTGGCTTACAGCGTGTCACTTACGCCTCCACTTCCATCAATGCAAACTCCAGCCGGTCGCATTGTATATTCATCATTGACGTGCTAAAGTACAATGCGTCAGGTTTGATAACAGAAGTAAGTTATTTTACTATTTTACTATCATTCAAATGATTTTATCCATTATTTTTTTTGATTTGTATTTGAAGATATCTTATAAATTCTGTGACTTGGCTGGTTCTGAACGTCTTGACAAAACTGGGAATGTTGGTTCACGACTTAAGGAAGCACAACGTATCAATACATCGTTGATGATTCTGGGTCGCTGTCTTGATGCTGCTAATAATTTAAATCGTAAGAAGAATACTGAGGTTATTCCTTACCGAGAATCGAAACTCACGATGTTGTTGCAAGCTCCACTGTTAGGAAAGGAGAAAATTGCCATGGTGGTTAATGTTACACCCACTGAAAAATATTATGAAGAAAATTTAAATGTTTTGGGATTCTCTTCAATCGCTAAGAATATTATCTTCAAACCACCAATTGTGAAGCAAAATAACTCAAGATTTTCATTCTTTTTGGATCATACGACGTCAGGTACAAACAAAAGTGCACAGAATGCATATATTCAGCAAGTACTGGATGAGAATATATTGTTAGTATTACAATATATAAATTATTTAATATATCATAACATTTTATTAATCTGTTTAATAGGCTGCGTAATGAAAATGATCGACTAGTCGCCGATGTACAACATTTCCAGTCCATCCTTAATGCTGAACTTTTACGACAAGAAAAACAAATACGGAATGAACTTGTAGACTCTTTTCAGAGGACATTGACTGAATCCAAGGAACAAGCAGAACATCGTCTGAAACAAAAACTTGAATGTCAAAATCGAGTGTTTGAGTCAAAGGCAAGTAAATCTTGTCTTTTTTGTGACCTACAAAACATTAATTAAATTTAATTAAATTTTCATTTATAACTCGTAGTTGGCAAAAATCAAACGAGAATATGCGGAAAAAATAGAAGATCTACGTGAAGAGTTAGAGTTTATAAAAGAAAACGCATGCTATATAAATCCAAACAACCGCATGGCATCACTTGTTCTTAGTCCGGAAGAAGTAAATGCATTGAAGGAACTGTCAGTAAACATGTGCGATAGAAATCAAAGCAAAAATGGAATAGATGAAAAATCGAATCCGATAAAAGCTGAAAATTCATGTGAGGAATTGGAAGAAATGAAAGTGAATATTTCCTATACAAATTACAACAAACGAAAGTTATTAGAAGCAGAGTCTTCGGAAAATATGAAAAAATTAAAAGTAATGGAAGAAAATGTATGCGATAGAAATGACACCAAAGACGGGATTCTAGATTGAAGAAAAATAAAATAGTAAATGCGATGAAAATGTTAGGTAGTACCGATCACTAGTGTAGTTGAGAATAAGCATTTTTTATTTTGTAAAAATTATTTTAGATAAGTTTTTGTTTTTATTTCTTATTTTATTTATATTTGATTCAAAACTTTTAAATTTTCTATTGTTTGCAATATTTTTAAATATTTTTATTTCACAAATTAAATAATATTTTAATAACTCTTGGCACTGATTTCGCAGTTGGTACTTAAGTCCAAATCTGAATTAAGTCAGAAAATTTGGTTTGATTCAATATTGAATGTTAAGTTACGACTGTAATTTTGGCCCTTATTATTTTCTTGTACGATTTAAATAGCACTTTCGAAAAAATATGTGCTCAACTTAAGTAAAGTAATCAAATAATCAGCCTTTTATTTTTGATATTGGAGATAGGCCTAACTTCCTATTTTATTAAAATGTGTGCTTAATGAATTCACCATTTCCTCCATTGGCGATCCTAGTTGGGTGGTATGAGAAACCTTAAATAAATATTAAAGTATTAAAAATTTAAGTAAAAAATTTGTTAACGATGTTTACCCTTCTGCTGAAAAATTTCATAAATCAATTACTAAGAAGTATTTTTTTTTATATAATTATATATTTAGTAGTTAGGATCTATTTTTAAAATAATATCCTTAGCAAAGATTATGACTGTTTTTATTTTAAAATTTTAATATAGAAAAAACAGTTTAATTTGAAGTGTTCAATATAAGTGTTCTTTGCTTACGGTCTAGCGTTTTGAGAGTAACAAGAACGTAAGAAAGCCCGTAAGCGTATACGGTATTAAATTTGTTCCTTAAATTTTTTAGTTATTCTGTACTTTATTAGTTATTTTTTATTTGTAGTATCCATAATTTGCTCGTTTGATATATGAAAAATATTATTTTTTTATTTCATACTCCATTCCTGGTTTTCAACCAAACCAAACCAATCACCTAATTTTTCTTTGATTTCAAAATAATTAATAAAAGAAATTGAATTAACCCACTTTAACGTTGAACTTAATAAATCCAATTGATATGAAATATTATCATATATAACCAATTAATATTCCAAAAAGAAAACAGAAGACTGTATTATTAATAGAAAAAAATATATATTTTAGAAGATTCATAAAGAAGATATAATTTTCTTAATAGGACTTGCAATTTAGTTCAGCAAACTTACTATTTAGTTCAGTATGGCTTTCTAGAAATTCTTATATTATCTAAGGAAGTAGAGAATATAACCAAAAGCAAATAACAAAAACAAAAAACCTAAAGGAAGAAGGTAAAAAGTACAGCACCAAATATAAATTAAAAAAGAAATTGGATGGAACTTAAGAATAAGTATAGAAACAGAATATACATATATATAATTACAGAATAAAGATATTTAACAAAGCCCAAATGCGGGTTCGACAATATTGACATCGCGATCATCGATTAATGGCGTTCGAATTGCAGTATTATGATGACCATAATACTGCTACGATTGTAGTACCAGAAGTGTGTTTTCTGCTACTAGATGATGGATCATATAGATGGATACTGCTCAAGATGAAACAGTGGATTTTGTGAAATGGAAAATTGTTTGGATTATGAGTCAATTATTTTTTGGTTGTGAGAGTTTCAATAAGGCAACTTAAAATCACATTATTCTAATTAATGTAGTGTTGTTTCAAGATATTTGGATTATTACAATAAAGAAAATTCCATTCGTTTGTTCGGTTTTATCAGAAAATTTTAAGATATTTGTATTTTAGGTTTTATTAATGTAATATTTAAGCATAAGTACATTCAGTTTCTCTATTAAAGCTCGTTAGGTGCTGAATTAAGTTAGATTAGAAGCTCGTTAGGTGCTAAATTATGTTAGATTAGATTTAAAATGCCGGCCGACATCCCTTAATGATGGACATAGATATTGCTTATTATGATGACGTTAAAATTGCTAGGAAAAAGCGAGTTATACGTATTATTATTTTCAATATAGTTACATTCGTAAGCCTTGTTAAAGCACTTGCTTTTTCAGATGAAATTAAAGAGATTCAAAAGCCAGCTTATTGCTGTCCTTGACCTAGAAAGCGATTGATTGTAATTATTTATTATTACTAAAAGAAAGGATCGTGTACTGCGATTTAAAAGATCTGTTGTGCACTTTAGACGGATTAGAGTGTTTCTCCAAGTTCGATTTCTTTAATGAAAGACAGTATAGAGCCTATTTTTCCTAGTCTTGAATCCTTATCCATGAAATATCATCCTAGGTATTTCTTTCGCTTGTGTATGCAGTTTCTCTTCTCTACATTATCTGCAGTCTGAGTTGGATTGCAGCGATTGATAGAGTGCAGTTTCTTTTTATCATGTAAACTCCTGCATAGTCCACTTGTTGCGACAACCGTGGAATAGTGAAGTGACTCATTAATACTCAAAACATTTCATCGTTCTCCTAAGCTAAGTTGTCCCTTTGTCTTGTTTTACATTTTAATATTATTGGAAAAGGAATTACATATTACGTACATGTTACTTTTCTATAGTATCCTACTATATAGTATACTATGGTATACTCATTATTCCTATACGAATAATAAAACTTCTTAATAAGCTAATTAAACTATTACTGATCGGAAATTTACACAGAAGATTTTAAAAATGTAGTAAATGAAACTCTTGGTAGAAGGAAAATTTCTTAATTTTCTGATAAAACATTTGGCGAAAAAAAATTTACAAAACTTTATCCAAAAAAAGTTGTCCAAATTTTGGTCATCGAAAAAAGTTTTGCTTAAAAAGTTACAATAAAACAAAAATGTTTAATTACTTAGGATTATTGCAGACTTTTAATAGAACTAACAATTTTTTTTACTTCTCAAATGCGAGAATATATGTATATTTTTTTTGAAATTTAAAGGATGTGAACTTTGAACTATGATTAGAAAAATAAATGAACAGTCGCTCGTTTTGAAGTTCGAGAATATATTTTACGAGATATTAAAATTCACGATGTACTTATAAAGTTTCAATATTTTTTCTGTAACTCTTATATATTTTAAATTGTTCTGGAATTACCCTTAGCTATAGTATTGTAGTATTTGAGGTCTTAAGTTACAAGTTTAATGTATAAAAATCTGTAAAAAAATCAGCAGTGCAACCTAATGAATTTTTAACTTTATTAGTTAGTTAGTATCTTATCTAATCTTTACTATTCATAAATTTATGTTCCTTATGCAAACCCATACTTCTTGACACATAAGTTTGGAGATGCGACCTCAGATGTTTTAAAATATCGCTATATCTATTCATTGTAACGCGCTCTAAAAATTGTACAAATATATGAAATTGATGAGCAACGTAATGAACGTTTAGAAATTAAAGGAATAAATTGGTTACAAATGAAAGAACAACACGCATTAAAAATGGAATACCAGAACAACAAGCAGTGAAGCACTTAAAGTACTACTAGTGAAAAATATATTCCGGGTTATATGCTTTGTATTTCTGAAAGCAAACGCACTTGTGTTTCAGATTTAAATTCTAGGTGTAAAAGATGTAGTAATAACTGGCTATAATTCGGTTATAATTTGATAATTATTCATTTCGAAAAGATGAAAAGTTCGAGGATTGTCAGCATATACACTATTCTTTGCTTATGTTAGGTTAGATTAGATTAGGTTAGGTTAGGTTGGATTGATGGCTTGACGTACCAAAACCCCTTCGATTAAAAATAATTGCTAGTTGGGATTATAAACACGGTTAATATTGAAGAACACACGACTTAATTCTCTTTAAATGCGTTGAACGGTGATAAATTTATGATCATTGATAATGATTATGATTAGTGATTTTTTAAATGTGACATCCGACCAGAGGTACCACGGGATCCAGGTGCATGCAATTTTGGTTGCCTTGGACACTGAGTGGGTCCAAAAGGGATGTCGTGAGGGCTATGGTAAACAAATAAAGTAATGTAAGAAGAAGATTAGCATTTATGTTTTCACACAATGCAGAGTTAAATATTTTCAATTATTTGTCATGCTTCGATTAACAGCAGATGTTTAAATAGATCTCACTTCAAAACAAGAAGGATACTTTATTTCAATATTTAACTTCAATAGTCGTTATTTTCTAGAAAGTACGGATTCAATACACATTATAACTAAATGCTCCAGTACTTAGTAACTTTTGTGAATGCTCCAATCCTTCTACAGTCACATATGCATTTTTATTGCATCAATAATGACAATTTCCTTGATTTTCATATCATTCACCACGTAAAAATTGAACCTTATCATTGAAAAGAAATCCGAAGTGACTCATATCTTTTACAGAATCAATATTTTTGTAGCTATTATTATCATAGATAGGCTGTACATGCACTGCGAGCTGAAAGATCTTTTGTGCAGCTAGAATGATCTCACCTAACTAGTCAAATTCCAAGGTGTTTAGGGCTCAAAATTCACAGCCTAGATAGTCAAATATGCGTCTTGTGCTGGTTGGACAGTAGAACGTGTTCTACTGTTTTCTGTTGGTTTTGACAGAGTCGGTAGGAATTGTAGTCCTTTTAATGTGGTGAAACGATTTTTGAAGTTAATTTTCACAACTTTAATATGTACAGCGGTTGTTAAACGATTTATATTGTAAAATGGCAAACTTGAAACTAAAAATTTACGGCGAGCATGTGAATCTATCTTGAGAAGACTTAAACCCTTATCTTATGCCATTCTGAATTGGTAGTATAAGCTAACATAATTACGAATTTTTTTCCGTCAAATTGAAGATATGATTGTGAAAGATATATATTCTTAGCAAGACGATGTTTGGATGAGAGTTTAGTTTAATATCACTGAAAAAGTGTCAGTGAGATAGAAATGAACAACCGTGGATTAAAAATAGAATACAAACCAAAATATATTGCGTTTGATTTTGAGAAATACGGTAGTTGGAAGTTTTATAAACATATTAAATTATATTACATTACACTGTAAAGTAATTAAGTTTTTATTGTGGTATAAAGCTTCCTGGGCCACTTCCAAAAAATGACAATGTTGGGCACCTAATGCTGTTTTATGGAAAAAATTTATAG